GTTGTCAATTGCATAGCAGCTCATAATCCCAAATCATGTGTGACATACTATACATGTTCAGTCTATGTATGTTTGGTGTGATTATGCACGTGTCGTGTACCTTTGCATACTTGTGTCCAAAAGGTGCCTGAAACCATTGTTGGTAATTTTGAAGTCTTCCCACAAAATACCCTATTGCTAAGATGTCCAATCTTAGTGTGAGATATTGATTTTCTTGATTTTTGAATGATAATAATGGCTAATCATTGCTAATAAACACTCCAATTTTCCTAAGATGTTGATTTCCTTCCTTAGTTTTCTTGAACGAGTAATAGTTTATAGAGCGAGTAATAATGGTAGTAATTATGAACATATGCATATGAGATAATAATGGTGATGATGTTAGTAATTACAAATACTTCTAATAATGGTAGTGGTGATAATAATGATAATAGTCAAAACATTAGTAATGGTAATAACGGTAATTGCTAAGACATTGTGTTTCAATACGTACATCGCACTCCTATTATATGTTGAATGTCATCATTCATAACATGCACGTGCACCGCTGCAAATCCTCTAGTAGCACTAATGTCTTTTTGGCCCCTGAAATTTTGTATCACATAAAATATCTCCTTTATGTTTGGTCTTACTTATCTTTTCCCATTCATCGTGCCCATCTCTTGTCTTTATCGTGGCATCCTTAAGTCTCACTTAAGTGATGGGGCCCTTTCCTAAACTTAATAGAAAAAGAGATATTCAATTTGATTATGGAAATGAACTTCATAGAAATCCATGTGAAGATTCTAGTATCTCATGAAATTAACTCTTCTAAAACCGAAGGTCAACCTTAAACCATGAATTGTCAAAAGTGTTTTTTGGAGTCAAGTTCATGGCACCTTGGATTCAAAGAGGTTGGTTATCTCTTAGTTTTATTATTTGCACCACGTATGTCAACAAATAAATAGTACAAGACAAAATCCTTAATGAACCAAGACTGAGTGATAAAAGGGTAATTATGTCACTTCCCTTCAATGCCTGCAATGTCACCTAAACCTCGATTAGTTGCGATTAATTTGGAAAAGCTCTCATTGAAGTGATTGTGTGGGGTCCACAATAACACTAAGATAATTGCGCTTTGAGAATCATGAGATTCGCATTTATGGGTCCAACCTTAAAGCACCTCGAGTTGTTAATTAGTTATTGAGTCAACTCATAACTCTCATGTCCTTGCTTTGCCAACCTTATCTGCTTTTGCACAGACTCATATAACAACAAATCGATTGTTGTCGTGTACATGCCTAACTGTTCACTACATGATTTCTTGCACTTTGCCACTCGACCGTCCGATTGAACCTAACAAATTTTATTCAACTGTTCATCAGGTCATGCGATCTTCTAACCCACCTGTGATTCACTGTGATATCATGTTCTCCAATATTTTGATCAATGAGGAATGAACTATTAGACTTGAAGACTTTGACCTCTCCCATAGGGGACACATGGAGGATGAACATGTCAAGTCCATTTCATCAATAGGGATGTTGATGTACCTCAACCCATGCCATCTTGTGCTCTTGAGTATTGGAGCCTCAAGAGAAAAGTCTTATGTTTTAGGATGTTGTAGTTGAAGATAATCAGCGGGAACAATATTATCAATGTCGTCTATATTCCGCTTTCAGTGGTTGTGACATTAGTGAGGTTGTCTTTCATGTGCTTCTCATGTTGATAGGGTGAGAATCAAAATTTAACAGTTCTCACAGACAACATCAATATCTAATTGTATTGCTCCTCTTGAATCTTCTTCTATTATGGTTAATGTTGATTCCACCTCGTGTTTTGTTGATTAAATAGGGGTGGTGCACCTGTAAGACTCCGATGCTCAAATTTGTACGAGACTAGGGTGAAGTATATATACAAGTGGAAAAGGGTTTGTAGTTTCCCATGATCATCCCTGACTTTTTTTTAACCTTTTAGTCTCACTTTATGATTTAGGCTCAACATATCTTCCTCATTCAATCCCCAATGCACACAATGGATCGTTTAAATGAATGTGCATGGGATGTATCTTCCATGGCCATAAAGTTAATATGTAGGGAATAAACTTATTGTGATTTGTGGCATGGCTCAATAATATAGGTTTTTCCTTTTTTGTGTGGATACAAGTGGGAATTGAACAAAAAATCTAATACAACTTATCTAAATCCCTCACCACTAGACCAATCCAAGTGACTTAATATAGGTCTTTCCTGCTTTGGCCACCGCGTGTCCACCAACATAACCCACCCTATATCAAAGGCAATCTTTCATCGGCTTGGCTCATATGCAATTTCATAAGATGAACCATTAGCTTTTTTCCTAACCTTTTGGTCTCACACTCCAATATAGGCTCAAACTCCTCTTCTCGCTCAATTCCTTGTGCACCCAATAGTTCAAGATGAATGTGCATGTGACATATCTTCCATGGCCATATGGTTAATGGTGGATCCATTTGGGTGCCATTGTCTGCACCTGCAAACATAAAAAAATTGGGGGGGGGGATTTTTTTCACATAATAGGATGTGTGATTTAGGCCAAGTAAAAAAAAATGAAATTAGGAAGATTGAAAGGAAAAAGGTAAAGAGTGGAGGAGAATCACACAAGATTTTTCACGATCTTTTGTGAAACAAAAGTGGTCAACTTTGGATCAAATAGATATGTGAGTTTTGATCTATTAACCTCTACAATTATACTATATTTTACAAATATCTTTTTGTGGTGTTATTTATTTTTTAATTATCATTATCGATTATTTTCTTAAAACTTTGATTGATTTACCAAAGCTTTACTTTTGAAGTGAGAGCAAAAATTGGATCATGATCTTTTTTTAAAAAAAAAAATCGCAAGCGGTGCCCCCGAAGCTCCGCCCTAAATGTGCAGACATAAAAATATTTTTTTGGGTCCGCCACTGCATATGGTTGATATGTAAATGACAAATTTATTATAATTTATCATTTAACCCGTTAAATTTTCCATAATCGCTTAAGATGATCTCCTTTAAAAAAATATATGTGAGGCAACCTTTTATTTATATTCGTGGCTAATTCAATCTTCATAGCAAATTCTATTTCCGTAACAAATTCTGTCGCAAACCTCGTTTGTGAGGAAATCTGCGATGAAAAATAGTTGCGAGTATGAAATTTACAAGAGAAATTCCATAGCAATTCCACTAAACAAGTTTTTTCCAGTAGTGTTATTTCTCAGGAACCATTAACCTTTTTGATTTTACCCTCTAATATAAGCTCCGGAATCTCTTCGTCACTCAATCCTATGTGCACCCAATGAGTTAGGGTGAATGCGCCGTGATTTATCTTCCATGGCATTATAGTTAATATGCAAGGGACAACCTAATGAATTTTGCTTGTTAGTTGATAGCATTTAATTATAATTCTTAATTTGCGTGCTGCGCTCTAAGTTTTTTTTTAAAAACATTTCATGTTATTTTAAACATTAATTCTTAATTAATGTTAATTAATGTGAAATGACCTAATTTACAATATGAAAAAAAAAGTTGAAATTAAATTGTTTTAGTAAAAAATTGACATGATCGGAGTAATAATTAAAAAATATGTAAAACGTGTATGTATAGTTGCGTATTGGTAATAGTGACAATATTATTTTTCTTGTCTATGTGTACATTATAACAAATTCACTCACTTGTCCGTTTTTGAATGATTTGATATAGAGTTTCATTCAAGGGATTAATATTTGTGTGTAGAAGATAAAATTATTTTTTACATATATAAAAGTATGTGAGGCTTATATAGAACTATGTGAAGAAAAAAAAATGAATCTTACATACTTTTATGTGTAGGAGATAAAATTATCTTCTATAACATAAAAAACACTAATCTCTTCATTTATATAAGAAATTGTGTATGTTCATGAATAAATAAATAAAAATTAATTTCAAAGACACTTTTATAATTTTACATTACACAAATAATGTTTTTATATTATTTTTCCTGCACACAAATTAATCCTTGCAGAGAAATTATAATGGTTTCTTTTATGAGCTTCATTTATTTGTAGTTTTGTTTCAAGTTTCAACCTGAGCTAAAATTGGCCAACTTCAAGTTTCCTTCTTAAAATACCAGCATTTTCGATAGGGGTGTATATGGTCAAATTAAATTGAATTTTTTAAAAAATCTAACCAAATTGATTTAAATTGTTCGATTCAATTTGATTCAAAAATAGATCGGTTCTATTGGAAATAATTCGGTTCGATTTGAAACAGATTCAGAACAACCATATTTTAAAAAGAAAAGAAAATTAAAAAATTAAAGAAATAAAATAATAAAAAATAGTTCAGTTCAGTTCGAAAATAATTTGGCTTTTGAACTTATTATTTAAAAATCAATTCTGTTCATGAATTAATTTTTAAAAACTAATTATTTTAAATTCAGTTTAGTTCATAATTTGATTTAATTAGTTTTTTTTTATTATTCTGCACATGTTTACATCTCCGCACCGACGAAGCCATACTCAAAACCATGCAAATGCAAGAGGCATATATATAGAACATAGTCTATGTTTTGGCTTTATGCCCTTAGATGAAGACAATATCCACCGTGGCACCTTCCATATATATACCTCTTCAAGTGATTCCGGTCACAACTTAAACGTTCGCTTCAACTGCATTTCATGTTTTCTTCTGTGAGAAGAATATTTACTTTTTTGATTTTGAACCTGCATCTACGATTATGTGTATATGATTTTGTGTATCCCAATGCCAATCCCTCCTTCCACCTGTCAAACTCTTCTCATTTGCTTCTCTTCTTCACCTTCCTTACCCTTCCTTCTCTTCTCTCTATTTCACCACCCTTCTATTTCTTTTGACCAATTTTATTCTCTCTTTTCCTACACACCTGTCCATGTTTCACTGGCTCAACCCCTTCTTATATGAGCTTCATATACATCATCACTCTCACTTCACTCACTCCACAACAAAAACCTCAAATTAAGCCAGTTTAGTTTTGATAATGGACAGCTTTTATGCTCAGTTTTCTGCAACAAACACAAACCCATCAACCACAACCATGGCCACAACCAACAGTACTTTCTCATCCTCATCCTCATCCTCATACTCATACTCAAACGTAAGCCTTGCAGCAGAACAAAACATGTTTCATCCACAGAATGTAGTTCACTTCCCCAATAATAGTGAAACACTTGGATTTCCTGCAACTCCCTTTCCCCAACCAGTTACACAGTTCAGCTTTCAATCACCTTATTTCGTACCATATGAATTACAAAACATGCAGTTCCCATCTACACAAACGTTTACCCAAGTGAATCATCATTTTTCCAATCCTTTGCATTCTTTTCCAATGGAGGAAAGTAATGAAGTCCTTTTAAGAATGCAAAACTGTCGTAGAGAAGGTAGGAAGATAATGGAAGCATCTATACGGAGAGAAGCAAGGGAAAGAAGAAAACAAGCAAGACAACAAAGGAGTGGAAGTTCTGCTCCTCCTGCTGTGGCACCTTCAGTAAGTACTGAAGGAACAATAAGGGGACAACAACCTCTTACTAGTGGAGAGTCAAATGATAAGGTGACAGTCACCCAAAACAGAAATCCCAATGTTTTTTGTGCTCCAGATGGGAAGGTGATTGATTTGTTTTATTCAGATATATTGCTTTATTTATGTAGAATTTTCTCTTTTTCTGTCTTTGAAATTATTATTATTTTTTATTATTATTTTTCTAACTGTTTGAGAACAGAGGCTTGAAGAAATTTTGACAAAGAAGTTACAAAACAGTGACGTAAGCTGCCTAGGCCGTATTATCCTCCCTAAGGTGAGGTTTTTTTTTTTTCATCAATGAGAGTACCATTTGAACTTTGAATTAATTGTTAGCTCTCTAATTATCTGTTTGGTTTCAAGAAAAGAAGAAACATTGAAGTAAAGGTGGCCCAATTGATTGACTCTTATTGACCACTGAAACATGATTTGTGATCTACTTTGCCCAATAAGTAGTTGCTTCCTGACATATCGATTTTAGCACCAAAAAAAAAAGAAACGATGGTTCTTTTTTCAGTCACAGTCATCTTTTTGACGCTAATTTGCAAAAAATGACAACTATTGTTGAAATGGATAATTTCCATTACATGGCAAATAAAAATTAAATAACCAAGACAATGCATGTATGATAAATAGAGGGAGGCTGAGGCAAAGCTTCCGGACCTGAGCAACAAGGAAGGAATCGATATTCTACTAAGGGATGTATATTCTGACCTACCATGGACTTTGAGATACAGGTGAGTAAATGATTCCTCTTTAATTTATGCATTTTTATTTATTGGGTTTTTTTTTTTTTTTTTTTTTTTTTTTTTTTTTTGTGGTCCACCATGCATGATGCTGAGTATAGGCTGTTTATTACACACAGGTTCTGGTGTAATAACAAAAGTAGAATGTATGTTCTCGAAAATGCAGGTAAGACTCCGTTTCTTATTTGCTGTGTTAATTACTTTTCAAGTTTTAACATATCAGTCATTTTTTATAAAAAAATAAATTAATTATCATTTTAGAGATTTGGAAAAATATTAACTATTATTTTTAGTTTTATTCTTATTTCTTAATATTTTCGTCAAGTGATATAAGAGAGAATATTAACAAAGAAAAGAATTTCTGAAACTTCTGGATTTTTTAAACAGATAAATAATTATCATTAATTTTAGTAGTCATGATTCTGGCTTCATGTACAATTGTCTCTCCCAATGTAACAGGAGATTTTGTGAACCATTATGGATTACAAAATGGAGATTCTCTAACCCTTTACGAGGACGAATCAAAAAATCTGGTTAGTTTTATGTCCTTGTTACACAATTTAGTAAACATTACTTGAGTATCAACTATTTGGGTGTTTGAGGGGGAGTCATACTCATTATCTTTTCTTTTCTTATATTTTGGGTACATAAGGTTATTTTATTTCAGTTGTAGAAAACGAAAGCATGCTCTTAAAATTTCTACTTGTAATAATGTATCTTAGTACTGTCTTTCAAAGTATACTACAAATTATTAAAGGGACGTTGCTAATAAGCACAAATTAAAGGAGATTTAATATAGTTTGATCTTTATACACTATATACTTTTTTAGGTAGGTAGATCCCCTCGTTCATTTTTAATATAAAATTGCTAAGAAATTAACCAGTATGTTCGATAGTGAAAATTGAAAGAAACTATACCCACATTTCTTCTGCTTCCATCATCCTTCAGGCCAGTATTTGGTCTTATCTGTTCCACATGAAAGAGATTAATTTATCTTATTTTGTTACATAGAACCTACTTAAAAAGAGGGCATATAAAGACAAGAGACGGTTATTGTCTTTAATATCAGCATTTCCTTACCCTTATTTCTTCTTTTCAAGACCTGCATATAAAACCTCTCTACTTTTGTATAGTAATAATATAATATAAAACATTCAAAGTGTTTCATATGACATTTTAAACTTAATTAATTTTGGGTTGAATTGTTTTTTTATATATCTAAGAGTTTATAATTAGATGTATGCCATTCTATTTTTTTAATAAAAAAATTTAATATTCATATTTCATATCTTAAAAAGAAAAGGATTTTGATATGGTGGGTCCATAAATTGTTGACATTTCAATCCTGCTCTTGGTGAAAAGGAATGTGTTAGAAATAATATATTATAAAATAATAAGAGTACCTTCATCTAACAGCTAAGGTTTCAAATTGAATTGGTTGTTTACAACTTTTATTCGATTTTCGCTTCCATTATACTCTAACTTCATTTTCAACTTCATTCATGCACGTACAAGGCATATAAACTGCCATGGAGAATATCAGCATTTCCTTTGCCTCTCAGCTTTTATTTAAAACCTCCAACATACTTTGACTTCATTTCAACCCTCTTTCAACCTCCTAAGAAAACATGTTTTCATCAATTTTCTAGCTGCTTCCTCAATCCTTGCTCTCTTATTTCGTGTACATGATCACTAATTCTTGTGTTTCTGCATGTAATAGAGATAAAATCATTTCATGGGTCTTTACAAATTTAGAAATGATATTTGTACAAATTTATACTCACACTCCTGATATATTCTCAATGCAAATCATTGGATAACACCGTGATCCTACTTTTAACTTTTTTTTTTAAATCGTTGATATTGTGCACATACCTTACATAATTCGTGCAAGTATCTTCTCCTTTACATGGCATAAACCTTCTAGCTAGAGTATAGTTCTGTGATTATTTGATGCACCTGTCTCAAATCCTAATTACTCACTATATCACCAATTTTATGTGAGGGAGCAGTATGTGTCAACAAAAAAGGAGCGAAATCAAGAAGTGCTCGAGCCCTCAACAAACAAGCAAAGGCTGCAAATACATGGCACATACAACTATAGCTACACGCAAAGCAACGATGAAGATGAAGCATCGTTGGCTTTATTGATAGAAGAGCTTAGCAACAAGAGGGAAGAAGAAGCTGCTAACAGCCTGTTGACACTGTGCAGTGGTGGTGGTGGTGGTGGTCCTTCAAGTGGAACTGAATACGTTAAACTACCCAACTATGTTACAGGAGGGTCATCAAGCCAAATAGCTGAACAACCAAACATAGAAGCCGCAGCACCATCCTCCAAGGGCAAGACCAAAGTACTGATATGTGATGATCAACAGAACAGCATCGATGATGTCTACGGGGGTCTTGACAATATTTTAGATGTTGGTCATTTAACAGATTACAAGAAATGGACCATGTAAATTTGAGATGTTAGATATGTCTTGTGACATGTTAATTTATAAATATGAATGCGACTCCATGTTGTGCTTATTAAGGGAAGACATATATATATATATATAAAATAAAATTATTTGTTTTTCTATGAATTTGGCGTCGGACCTTACCAGATCTATAAGGCAAGGTCATAGTAAGTGACCCTAATGTTGAAAATCCAACTTTGAATGTGAGAATAGGCCTTTGTAAGCATGCCTTGGAATTCTTTTGTATATCCAAATCCGCCATGGCATGGATCCCTTGGCCAATAGGAGAATTTGCACCTAATTGAGGCTTTGAAAGAAACTAGAACTTTAGGTAATGGGATTCGGTTAAGTTTGTAGATTGCTTCACAACATTCTTAGCCTCAATATACATCATACCTGTAGTTACTACTCGATCGTACGTATATAGTATTCGAGTGAGTAGTGACCATTTTATAAACGATTAAAGCAAGAAAATTGAAAGAGTTTTATTTACATTTTAGCCTCTCTTTTTTCCAACTAAAGCAGATTAGCAGTGTTTAAACGAAAAAAAAAAAAAAAAACCTTTCAATATAAGCACTAAGTAGTTATTTTTTATAGAGTAAAATGATATTTTAAACCCAAAGATGTATCATAACAGTAATTTAATTTTTAACAAAAACTATGCGTATTACGTTACCATTAAATTATCAAAACTCATTTTAAACACTTTTTTTTATTGATAGATAGACCAAAATATTAATTTACTATTTTAAGGCTCACTCCAATGTATTGAAGAAAATTATAATTCTATTAAATAAGGAAGTTGTTGTAGTGCGTAAAAGAATATTATGTTAAAGTTGAGTTAATAAATATTTATTGGTTATTTATTTTAATATAAATTTTAAAAATCTATAAAATATAATTAACAAGTAGTAAATGATTAAAAATTTATTTTCAATACTTATGTAAAATTGGAAAAATAATATTGGAGCAAAGTTACATATATTTTGAAGTAAAAAATTTATAAACACTCTAAAGTTTAATAGAGTAGCGAAACTCTAAAATGTAGGCAGCCATGTTGGTTGACTTTAGAAACGGGCTGAAAAAAAGTATCAAATCGGCTTAATCGACTAGTATTGATCGGGACATCCAACTTTACTTATTTAATTTTATCCAATCTTTCTGTGATTAATGTCATGCGAATATATTTTTTACTGCTTTATATAAAGGAATGGTTTTTATTTTTATTTTATAATGTTGAAGATATTTTCATATATGTGATACTTATTTTCAATATGATTCTTGTATGAATTTTTTAATCACTTTAGCTATATATATATGATTTTTAATTATGGACAGAGATAGGCAAGGTGCATGCCAGAGTCTAAACCCGAGTACTCTCTCATGTTAGATAATTTTATTTTTTACATTATTATGGGCTACATATTTAGTTATCAATTATATTATGTTATTTAGTTACTGAATAAATTAAATGATCAATTAAAGAACCCAGTTAGATTTCAAAATGAGTATGAGTTAAATGAGTGAATACCCACATTGGCCCAACATGGTATAATAGGAGCCTGGTGGGTCCAATGATAAGGAATTAGGAAAAAGGGTTAATGATCCCTAATATGTCAAATCATTTATATGGTTTTCTCCTCCTCATCAAGTGAGAACTTTCCCATAAGGATTCAGCACTCTAGTGATTTGACTGAGGAAGACCATCAATTTCAAAATTCAAAGGCATCAAGAAACTACAATCATTGCGATGGAATCAAACTAAATATAGATGGTGTTGCAAAGAGAAATCCAGGACATGTTGCATGTGGTGGTCTGATCAGAAATCATAAAGGGCGGTGAATTAGTGGATTCTCTTACAAAGTTGGATACTATTCAATTCTAACGGCAAGAGTTATGGGGGATTCTTAAAGGATTAGAATTTGCATGGTTAGAAGGATGGAGAAGGGTGATCGTTGATAATGACTCAAGTAATGCTAATGCGATGCTCACCAAAAGTGATGATGCTGCTCGTGAGTCCCGACTAGTGACTCGGACTAGAGGATTCGCCTGCAACGTACCTATAGGGTGGCTAACCAAATATGTTGATTGGTTGGCAAATTTGTCACCGGAAAATCTATAGCAGGATTCGAATGGACACCTTCAACATCCCCACCTAATCTGAGACTTCTAGTTTTGATTGATATGGCCTCTGTAGATTTTACGCTTAAAATTGGGATTTGATATCTGTTTGGTTTTTTTTCTTTTTCTGTTGGGCTTATGCCCTTAGTTCACCAAAATAAAAGTATTTAATGTGACTTTAGAAAATTTTGTCTAAAGTTCAATAAAACGATGTCATTTTAGAATTAAAAAATTAAAAAATTAGAATGATAAATATCATTATAACCTTAAAATAAATTAAAAATTACAAATACATCATAATTTCTGTCTTAAAATATTATTGTGTTTCGATGAACATTAAATAAAATTTTCTAAAATAACGTTAGAAAAAATCAACCCATCTAGTAATGCAAAAAAATCAACCCATCTAACGAACTGCAAAATTGTTAAAATTTATTCTTTAATTTTTTTAATAATTCTATGATTGAAATTCATTTCTTGTTACTTTTTATATTAGTTTTAATTTTTTAGAAGAAAAAAAAAAAGGTGGCAAATTGTTACCGGTGTTTTTCATCATAGTTTTTTTTTTTTTTTTGATAACATCATCATAGTTTATTTTCATTTCAGGTGATCGACAACACCGTGGCAACCACACTCCTCCACGCAGTGTTGACGGAGCAACCCATCGTTGAGGATGGCTGCACCATCACTAACTCTCAATTCCCCTCATCGTCTCTCCCTTCGCACCTCTTCTTACTTCTCTCTCCTCCCCACAACCGCAACCAACAAATTCACCTTCTCTCTCCTCACCAACACTCCAAAACCCTCCCTCTTCCACTCGAGACCGAAGAGGAAATCGCCGCCGCGTACGAGGAGCTATAGGGTCCCGCATACAGATGAGTAAGCTGTTGTGGCTGTTGGTGTTGGCAAGGCCAAGGAAGCTGTTATAGCTGCAGTTCAGAAATCAGCTGTTAATGCAAGGAGAAATATCATCACGGTTCCAATGACTAGGTACTCCACTTTTCCACATAGGTAGGTATCTTGCTCAACTCAACTCTCTTTACACCTTGAAAAATGTGATTTTTTTTAAATAAAAAATAAAAAATCATGATAGAGGTCTTAGTTAAATGAGATTCAGAATGTTTGGTTTAGGGAAGAACTGCTGTTGTTGGCTGATTTGGACTTTTTGTTTTGATTAACGAGGTGAGACTGAATTTTGGTTGTGTTTGATCTAATGGTGTTATTCAACATGATGTAAACTTTTTGTAAAGAACCTTGGGATACACTACCCCAAAAGCTAACTTCACATTAGTTGCTCTTCAACCAATGTGAGACTATATATCTCAACACGTCCCCTCACGCAAGAGCCCTCTTGGCTAAGCGTGGATTATGCAACAGGCTCAATCTTTGGTTTACCTTTTTTTGTGCTTCCACTTTAAAGTGGGGGCGGTGAGGATCGAACCTCAAGCTTTGATACTATGTAAAAAACCTTGGGATACACCACCCCAAAAGCTAGCTCAAAGGGTGAGAGTGCCCAAGGCCTTATAAACTCCACATTAGTTGCTCTTCAACCAATGTGAGACTATATATCTCAACACTTTTAGATGGATAATGTGATAAATCTTCACTTCTGTCAGTGTTCGTAGTTATGGCCAGAAGTTGGAAATTTCATTAGATTCTTGAAAAAAAAAATCATTGAAAATTCTCTGATTGCTGCTTCAACCAGCTATGAAGCACCGATACTCCGAATTTTTTTTCCCGACATATCGGATACGTGTATCGAAAACGTATTGTATCATATCGACGAATTAACAGTCGTATCGAAAACGCCTATACCGTGTCGGAGTCGGTGCTTCGTAGTCAACCAGTGACGAGAAGTGTGAGAAACAAGATTTGCTAAAGCAGCAACATAAGCTGTAACTCAATATCAATAACTATACGCTTAACAAATGTTGCGGACTCGTGGCTGAAGAAGTTCTAACTTCTTACTGGATGGACATATTTCTCATGTCGTACTGGGTATAAATCCACATCCATATTTTATGTTTTATCACCAAAGGAAAAAAAGAAGGGGAAAAGGATTCGGGTTGTAACAACCTTGCTTCCGGGGCAAGGATGGTGGGAATGAAGGGAAAACGATTAGAGGCAAAGATAATAGGGAGGGAAAGGTAGGGGAGAGGAGATCCTGTCATTGAGTGAGTTTTGGGGCTGTTGGGCAGGGAGGTTTGCAGACCCGTCTAAGTTATGCAGTTCTATCTTTGTTTTCATGTTTTGTGAGTGATTTTGTTCTTTGTAATTGGGGTTATCCCTATTTCTATGTAATGAAATACTCGGTTACTAACTTACTATCATAGTATTATTAAGTTCTAATGTATTAGTAAATTGTGAATATTATTGTGTTGAGCTGGTACTAAGTGTGCTAGATTTATACTTAACTTGGATTATTAGTATAAATTGGGGGTATAAGGTCAGTGTTATGTTTTGCAGTTAATCAGAATCTCTTTAATGAATTATACTTTAATATGCTCCATCTCTATTTCTCTTTTCTGCTTTTCATTTAAACCCTAAAATTTCAATAGATACTGATAACGATGCCTTTGAAGTAGATATAATAGGCATTCAGTTGCGTTGTGTCTACCAGTATTTAGATGGAGCCAATTTGGGGTGATGGATAAAAGTTGAAACACATGTCAGATGCCATGTGTAAAGTAGCTCAAGTTCGCCAGGCCTAAGTTTAGTTGGGCAATATCTCAGAGATGACAGTCCTATAGGGATACACACTTAATTCTCCCTTGACGTTTTGTGTGTAACCTTGAATTATATTCAATATGCATCTCGTATCTGAACTTCTTCTGGTTATCTGTTTCACAATATTATGAAGCATTCTTGAGACTTGATTCTAATTTTATAATGGTAACTTTGTGTATTGAGGTACACCAAAACTCAAAGTTAATATTTGTTGAACATAATAGAAGCCATACCTATCAGATTAGGTCCTGTGTCTCAAAACGTTATATGGATTCTTCACTATGTTGAAATTGTATTTTTGATATGTCACTACCTCTTCACTGTCTAGCGTCAACTATTAAAAAAAATGGAAACTAATATTGGATAGATGGAAGTATGGACATGCAATTGCTATTAACTTCCTAAGGTTTTACTGGCCCCACTTCACTGCCAATTAGTCAAAAGGTGTCTGTTGGTGGTCTCTGAAACTTGGTATTATGATCACTTAAGCAAGCAATAGTAACTTGTATGCTCATATGCCGTTTGATTATAACCAAAGAAACTTCGTTATGGAAGTTCCTTCACTCAAATAGGAATTGAAGACCTGAGTTTTTTCCTGATGAGAGTTAGAACTTGGAACCTATATTTCAGAGTAGAAGCATGTTAGCAACTTCGATATCTGCCAATCCAGATTGATTGGTCTCAAGTTCTAAGAGGCTAACATGTTATTTATATATGAATTATGTGTTACAAATTATAAATTGCTCTCATTCTAGATAGCTGCTACTAATTGTGTTGTATAATGTGTTTTTTTAGATCTGATGGAGATTATGGAGCAGCAAAGGTGATGCTTAGACCTGCTTCTCCCGGTACTGGAGTTATTGCAGGTGGGGCTGTGAGAATTGTTCTTGAAATGGGAGGCCTTGAGAATGCTTTGGGAAAGCAACTTGGGAGTAATGATGCACTCAACAACGCCAGAGCAACTATTGTCGCTGTGCAGAAAATGAAGCAGTTCCGTGAGGTTGCTGAGGAGCGTGGGATCCCAATGGAAGAATTGTGGAAGTAATGAAATTTGTGAAGCCAATGTGATTTTTAATACTTCAATTTTTGTGATATAGAACTGGTTGTAGTTTCCTCACGGTGTTCCATTTTTGTTTTAAATTTTCTGGAAGGAAACAATTTCTTCCAAAAGCTACTTGTTCAACGTGTAACACTAAAGTTGTGGAGCTTGATTAGGCAAGGAGTCTCATATTGACATTCAGATGGAAATCAATTGTAATTCTATTTGAATATACCCGCACTGAAAATAAAAATATTAGTTTAGTAAAGTACAAATTCATGCTGTATATTCATTGGATTTGATTTACCCTAGGACTTGATAATCGTTATTGATACAAATTATAATTTTTATGTTATGTTACCAAGTTTGGTTTGTTAATTTCTCACTGAGTTATAAATTCACCTTAAATGGTTATTAGATGTTTTCTAGATGAAGTGAAAGAGATAGCTTTTATTTTGCTTGTTTGGTTTGATCGAGAATTTGATATGAATGGCATTGGGGAACCCATTACCCAACTCATTGTTTATGTGGACAATTTTTTTTTATCATAAATTTTGTTTAAAAACCACCTGCGATAATATTCTTAAGAGTTACATCATTTTGGAAGCACCATTTCATGTAAAATAATCGTGCAATTTATATTTTTGACAATTTGAATTAGTTGGACTTGTAATCTCTTCAATTCAAAAGTATGAGATTTGTAGTATTGAAGTTGGCCTCAGTCCAAAGCATGCTATAAAAGTAAAGTTGTGTCTAAACTAGATATTAAACTCCAAAAATTTAGACATAAGAACAGAGACTTGCTCTCGAACTACATTTCCATAGTTTAACACAATGATCATAGCTTGCTGTAGCAATCAATCCATTTTGGGGAGAAGTTGCTAGTCCAGCAATTATATCATTGTGGGCAAGAACGGCCATGGTTTGCTTGCTCTCAGGTATCCATAATTCCAGGTTCTGAAATGAAATGAATTGTAGACAAATTGGTAAACAATTAAGCCAAATCAGGTTTTTGTCTGCTAACATGATCATCCTCTATAAGATGCCCTTGAATAAACTTGAAAACATAATAATTACTCATTTTCCAGAGGAACCCAGTTACACAAAAAAAGAGACTGGAAAGCTATTACCATGATAAATAAATAACCATCTCACCTAAAAGCTCAGTTAGGTGAATGCTACTTTTTGATAGTTTTATATATAATTTCTCTAATAATTACCAACATAAATATTCCTACGCGTAACAGATGCATAATTAATGTATTCATTGAGTAATCAATGTAATAATGAAAGCTTATTAGTAGATATAGAAGGGATAACAGCTAAAACATCAATCACATACTGGAGGAAGAGTTTACCTTATGGCCACCAACAATTACAAGGTTAGGATATCTAGGGTGAAATATGCACGACCGGAACTTGTTCCCATTCGAATGCAATTCATTTATGCACTTTCCGCCAGACAGCACAAACCAGACACGTGCACTATCCTCACTTACAGAGGCAACGTAGTTTCCACTTTCATCCCAACAAATGGAAAGAACCTCTTTGATATGTCCCTAGTAGTAGTAAATGAACTTCAATCATGGTATATTTTGCAAAACCCACATTTCAATCAATTATCTTAAAGTAGGAATTGATAAATTATAATAGACATGAGTTAACCTTGAAGCTTTACCTTTAGATGGAACAGAAAAGCTGAATTCTCAAAAAGAATTATGTTGATAATATTTCCAGTAGCAGTGGCTAAAAGCTTCCCAAATCCAGGCTGGAATCTAATTTGATTACTAGCTCCCTGAAATACATTATTATATAAGTCGTTTCTTGCAGTTATGTAAATGTGATGAGGTTATCTGAACAGATGAATATGATTACTGGCATTCTCAAAAAACAAATATCACAATGTTCTAATAAGTTGTTTAGGAAACCACCCAAAAGCTAGCTCAAAGGGTGAGAGTGCGGGAGTGCCCAAGGCCTTATAAACTCCACATTAGTTGCTCATACAACCAATGTGGGACTATCTCAACACGTCCCCTCACGCAAGAGCCCTTTGGGCTAGAAGCGTGGAATTGCAGAGGCCCAATTTTTGATTTACCTTTTTGTGCTTTTTTATTTTAATTCCACTTGAAAGTTGGGAGCCGTGAGGATGAACTCGTAACTTTATGGTCACTCAAGTTCTGGGAATACCCAAGGCCTTATAAACTCCACATTAGTTGCTCAAAAGATACGTGTAAAACTCACTTTAAAGCGATCGAGGCAAACACGACTATTAACATTCCACACACGAATGGTATCAGTGGCATCACACGAGCAAAGAACGTCCACATTTGTTGGGTGGAAGTCCAATGACATTACTAGTCCAGGATGTGTAAGATCATATAATGATTTGGCGGGCTGTCTCATGAGACATAAACAAAAATTAAATATTCCAAAATCTGAATTGGACTCAAATTACAAATAGAACGTCCACGTTTTCATTTCTATTTATAATGAATAGAAATGAAAACGAGAAAGAAAAAGTAAAAGGGAATGGCTTCCGAGGGTGGATGTGATCCATATTCTAAACAGCATAGAAGTTGTAAGAACGTGACAAGTATCAGCTTACCCTGCTAGCAGCATCCCATATTTTTACATTTGCCTCAAGGGAAGATGTTGCAAATATAGTTGAACCTGGTTTAAATCTAACATCCGTAATATAATGAGAAGATGCAGATGATGTAGTTACATGATCACGAGTTTCCATGTTCCAAATGAAAACCTGTAGTTAAAGACTACAATAAGGACTGAATACATGGCAAACACCTAAGCAGCGATTCAGAATGGATAAACCAAACTAAACTTGGAAAATTTATCGCATTGAATCACCTGGTTTACAAACCCAGCACTCGCCAAAATCTTTCCATCTGATGAAAAATGGCAGGACAAAACCTCGCACTTGCTCGAGTCAAGGCAACCCACCTCTTCAAAAGAAAAACCTTATGATACAAATTAGAATAAGCATTTCATCAACATGATTGCCCAGTGCAAACACTCTTCTCACTGTACCCAAATCCGACTTATAGTACAATTGCAAGCATTCTATTTCAATTTGTAACTAAGGCTTCCATACTTAGTTTCCAACAATAGTACTTGCGGAGCAATCTTATCCAAAGATACTAACAATATTTAGTATAAATCTTAGAGACAAATTCTGCATAAATGTTGAAGAATGTTATTATTTTGTTAAAGCATATATGAAACATGGGGCAAGCCTTTTAGCAGAGTAAAGTTGCTACTTTGTAACCGGAATGTCACGGGTTTTAATCCGGGAATCAACCTCTTTATAAAAATACAAAGGTAAGATTGCATACAATCAAGGGAATCAACCCTCGCTCCTACCCTCACAAAGGTGGGGATCCTAGTGCACCAGAGTTTGCTCGTATAGATCAACACATTGCTATGCATTGTCACACATTTGAACCCAAGATATAGGTATTTCGCTTATACAAGTCTTCTATGTTGTTAGATTCATAACACAAACGATCACTTTCTAAATCTTTGATAAGGGTTGGAGCCAATATACCTTGGGGAAATCTAAGATTCTCGGTATCATTCATTCTTGAAGTTGAAGGTAATAAAGAAGCAGTTGAAGACCCCATTGTCTTGTTGAAGCTGGAGCTGACTTGAAGTTCTTGCATTCTCTGCTCAACCATTGGAATGTATGTATAGGGATCACAAATGACTAGAATGCATCATCTGTCAAGCGAAACTAAGAATACATAAGATTGAGCATTTGGTCATTACCTTGACTACAGACGATTCTTGGTCAGTCTTCTGGAGCATCAGAAGGTAAAGTTTCTCATAGAAATCAGACCAGCATTGGTGTGCTAATCCATCAGGATATGGAGTATCAATCCCTAACACGCAGTTTTTAATCTCATTTAAATAACTTGTAGCGAGGCTTATTCGCAGGACAAGCCTATCAATCACAGCAACAATGAAAAAAGAAAATGCCAAAATACGATGACTCTCTTAGGTGTTTATATTTAGTGTGCTTTACAAAAAGATTATTAAATTAAGAAAATAATAAAAATTATATATATTAAATTTAAAAATATATAATATAATTGGATAAAATGATACATATTTTCTTATTATATATGTAATTTTTTTACTTTCAAATTTTTAAACACTTTTATAAATTATATAAAATAAATTTTATTATTTTATACTTTCATTTTATTTAAAATAATAATAATAAATATGTAAGTGGAGAATAAATTCTATCATCAATTAAAAATAAAATATAACAATATAAATAAAGTAATAAGTTCTCAATATTTGCAGGCAGGTTAAATACATATGGAAGCATGGATGATTGATAATAAAATTCTTGGATATAACTACGGCTCCTGTGACTAAGGTTTTGCTTGATACCATAGTAAAGAAAAGAAAAATAAGTAAATGAGATGTTATTCCCATTTTTTGGTATCATTTGATGAAAAGAAGAGATATTTTCTTCATTTGATTGGTTTTATTAAGAAAAATAAAAATAAAAATATACGTAAATGAACATTAAATTACTTTTGTTAAGAGATTGGTACGTACACCGAATTATACAAGTAAAATAGCGAAGATTTTAGTTAAAACACTAGTGCACAATTATACTTACTACTTAGAAATTAAAATGGATAGATCTCTACAAATTAATTGCAGTAAATTACACTTCTTTAAGTTTTTGGTTTAGTTCACAATGCATACAGAAATACACAAGTAAAGGATAAGTAACAATCAAAATTAAATGTTAGGGTTTGACTTCACTCAACTTCCGTCTGTTCAGCCAAAACTTATACTCATCCAAGTCCTACACATCTTTGAATTAAAGATCAAATTCTCTTAGAATAGTTAAAATTAAATCCCTTGAAACTTCAACCTTTATCCCAAATTCAATGCACGATTGATCAAGAGTGACTGATGGAAGATAAAAACCTTCAACCAAAATGTTTCTTCTCATGAAATCTGGAAGATTTGGATGCTGTTCAATTCACCATGAAGGATTTCAGCAGAAGGTTCTCTCAAACATTTCAAGGAAGTGTCCTCAGAAAGCCTCCCAATCTCCAAAGTACACGACGTCTTCTTTTCTAATGTTTGTAAGAAAATAGTTATTTGCTCTTTCTGTTTTTCTCTAGATGGTCCTTATGCTCTAAGCCCATCTCACGCATTTGATGATCGATAGACACTAAACCGGTTTCTGAAAGAAACCTGCAGAAAAATGTATTAAGCACAGCATAGGAATACAACCAGAGCAGAGCAAATTCTAACCAGCAACTGATCTCATAATTAGATGTCAAAAAAAACCTAATGCATTTCATGAATTTAGTTTTAGGGGAAAATATTTGTCCTTTCAAATTATATAACTTAATGTCATTTAAATTCTAACCGTTGATTTCCGTCAATCAATGGTTAGGATTTATTGGATTTTATTGTGACTTACTAATTAATTAATAAATTTGACCTAATAAACCCTAACCGTTGATTGACGGAAATCAAAAATCAACGGTTAGGGATCTAAAATGACACAAAATTCTATCTTTTAGAAGGACAAATATTTTTCCCTTAGTTTTAACACATGCTAAAATGATAAAACATGCATTTCCGTTTTTTCTTCTCTTTTGCAGTTTCCACAAGAAAACACAAAAAGGCCTATGGAATCGCGATACACTGACTAATCATATATGCACTTTGGTAGTTCCTTTCCATGCTAATGCACCGTGAAAAGCTAAATTTAATTCATGCAAACTCCATGTATTATGACATCATCAATCCATCACAAAGCATGAGACGCACACACTCACACTCCTCAATAAAACATCAAACACACACATGTATATGTTATAAATAAATGACAAACTTCACTCATACTTCAAGCATAAAACTTGATCACGTTACAATAACAAAACTTCCAAGCTGGGTCATTAAGGAACCCACATGAGCAAACTTCACATAACAATGTTTGCACAGCTTTAACACACAATTTCACAAAAAGCAGCATTTAGACTCGTTAGATTTTGGATATTTGTAGGGTGAGTTACTCATCAATCAGCAGCACACACAAAGCAAAACAAAAGACTAGTTGGTAAATATTCAATTCAGACTTCATAAGGATGCAATCTGTATACGAAACATGAATGATGAACGAAACCCCAATTTCAATTTTGACAGCAATTACATTCACAATAGGGATAAGAATGAAAGTACCAGCTAATGAGCAAGAAGAGGGTAAGGCAGATTAGAACAAGGAATGCAACATGGAGAATCAACCATGAATCACTGGAAGAGAATGCTAAGGCCAACATAACACAAAGACAGAGACCCAGCATTAAAAAAGTTGACTTTAAAGTAATCCACGTAGGACCCTGAAGCAAGAAAAAAGAAGAAGCAAAATCTGATGAAAATGGCTATAAAAATGGAAAAGAGAGAGCAGAGTGAGAATACGAACATTAACACCGGGAGCTAAAGCTCCCAGAAGAACTGCTTGGGCGGAAGATACATCTCCACCGTCTGATTCTTCTGCATCGCGATGGTCCATCTTGCAATGCAAATTGGATTTATTTGCTTAGGGTTTTGGAGAACAATCCCAATTCTCTCTGTTCAACCCTTACTCTACCAGTTTTAGCCTTTTTAATTTTTCAAAGAAAAGAAAATAAAAGAAAAAACTATTATTAGGAATTTAATTGGACTGGGCTTCGGATAATTTGGGTTTTAGGACAAGAGGACCCATATGTGCAATATAGATGTATCGCTATTATACATGTTCTTGTTTTTGAAAATATATGACCCCGTTGGTTTTCTTCTTTTTGTGTTGATTAATCATTTGAAAGATTAAGATTTTGTTTATCTTTGTAATGTCTCTTTAATTTGGGATACGACAATTTTCTTTCTCCTATGCCTCAACTTTTAAAAAATTTAAAATATAACCATATTACAGATACATTTATGAATTTTTTTATTAATAAAAAAATTGCATTAAACTATAAAGAATCATTTCAACCCAAAATTTTAAAGCATTAGTTGATGTTACATTAATAATTTTATATATCTCTAATACATTCTCCTATGCTAGAGAAGTGTGGATATTAACACGGCTCCTCACATGAGGGCACAAAACTTAATTAATTATTAATTAAATGAAGAGCGATAAGGATCGAACCTGTTACACTGAGATTCTAATATTATATAAAGAATCATTTCAACCTAAAACTTTAAGGCTTTGGGTGAGGCTATATTAATAATCTTATATCTCTCTAACATAAACCCGAAGATATACAAGACCTTCCAATTGAAAATACAAAAATTCTTCAATAATTGAGACACACTATTTTTTTATTTTCTTATTCTCTTATGCTCGTCATTCTTTTTTGCTCTTGCATTGTCGTTAAGCTTTTTAGAAGGATTAATTTTTATAAGCTCTCTAAGTGGTCAGACATTGGATAATATTTTTTTAATTATTAGATTGAATTTTTGCACCAGATAAAACTAGCACCAACAATCAATATTATTAAAATCGGAAAGATTAATAGGTCAGGATGGTTAAAGGAATTAAACCACCAATCGATCAAATCCAATCAATTTATCCATCAAACAAATGATTGGTGATTGGTTGAAACATGTATCTTAATGAATATTTCTTATAATATTAACCATTGAGTCATAATTATGTGAATATTAACCTTTTGATCTTGACATTTCTTGTGTTTTTTTTCCTCTAGGAGCTACCAAGTTTCAACAAAAAGTCAGTTTTAATTTCTCTCATCCAATCTCAATTTCACTAGCAACAACAACATCTTAGAGAACAGGTTTCAAAACAGTAGATCCAGCTCTAGGAGCTTGGATAGATGGAACGAAATCCTCGTAGAGGGTCTAGATATGACCCTCAAGAATGACAACTCTGGGATGTTGGGTTCTTCTTGTTTGAATCATTTTCATTGAGAAAAATTTGGAGAATTAGGTTTTTGGTTTTCGTTTAACTTCGCTAGTAAAGGAATGGGAATAAAAATTTCAGTAAATACTTTTTTTTTTGTCATAAAAAAAAAATATGGGCCCAAATTAATCCTAGAGAACTGAAATTTCAATTATTTGAAATTGTGGTCCCTCTGAAATTCAGATATGACCCATGTTAGTCCCTAAAAAAAGTTTAATATAAGTACTTTTTTATCTAAGCGATTAAAATGAATTCTGCATTTTTTGTTGAGGACCAAAAATGATATTTACTATAAAAATTTATAGATTTCCACAGATAGCGCTAATGAGTTGTTTGTGTAGGAGAGCTAGGTCTGTATCCCTTGATAGGTGAAATAAATCGATATGGAGATGCTCTTAGAGACTATGGTATAGACCAAAACTCTTGAAGAAGTAACCGTGTGTATATCTTAGAGGCAACTGAGTGAGAAGAATGTGTGACGGTATGATGGCTCAGTATTTCAGCAGAGTAATAACTCATAAAAGTGATGATTGCAAGATGTTTCTCGAATGAATGAAGATGAGTATATATATATATAACAAATATTCGCTAATGATGAAAGAGAGAAGAGTCATAACCATTTTTTCAACTCCTCATTGATGTGATGAGGTAGCACACCACTAATGATGAGTTATATTGTGGAGTGAGAGATCCTCTACAATAAGGTGTACGATTCTCACTATAAAAAAGCTGGACACCTTCAATGAACCTCTAAGGAATGAGTAGGAATTTAGCGCTCTCGGAACACTTTTGATTTGGTGGGACGGAGGAGAGAAAAAGAAAGAAAAACCTAGGGAGAGAGAATAAAAAAAAGAGAAAAAATAAAAATTTATTACAAGTGTCATATTCTTACTGATGGAACCACAGAGTCCGGGACCATATTAAATTTTTCCCTAAGGAATAGCCTATATCTTTGAGCTATAAGGCCATGTTAGAACACATGGATTAATATCTTATTGGAAAACACTTTCTCCTTTAACAGGAGAATTGTTTTCTCATGTTAGTGAGAGATCGTTTTGGATGCAATTTTTTTTATTTTTTGTTTTTGTTTATGGTGGAACCCATTTGAATTATGTATGTCCAAGTATTTTTTTAACCTCATGTTAAATAAGAGATACAAAGCCCATATCTTATACCTATATTTATTATGGGTTCATTTTTCCTGCAGTCAATGTAGATAAGTTATCTACATTGAGCCCAAAACGACGTCATTTTGGGACAAAAATCAAGGTATTTTTATAATTATAATTTATTTCAGGATTATAATAGTCTTTTTCATTATAATTTTTTAATTTTTCAAACCAAAACGATGTTGTTTTAAGAGTGAATGTAGATAACTTATCTACATTCGTTTTAGAAACATTAAAACCATTTATTATACAAAAGTTGTTATTTTGCCAGTGGCAATGTGGTGTTATTCTTTCAAACAGACAAAACTCGATAATTATTATTTTTTTCGTGCCCTTTGTGAGTACTTGTAAATTGTAATGCACCAATCTGATTTCATGTTATTTTTTCATACTTTATAAATTTTCATATTCCATCCAGCTAAAATATATATAATCAAAATTAGTTGGTGAGGTTTGTAATTTAATGCAAGTAATTTTACTTTTTTTAATTCATTTTTGAACTCATGAAGAATTGTATGTTTTGGAATTTAAAAGCAAACAGGTATCTTAAAGGGCCATAAGAATCTCCTTTTCATCCTTTCTTAATTCATCAAAGCTTGTTATTCTTGAGGTTCAATACTTCAATTTTAAAATGAGTGTTTAGATAGAGCCTCAACGTCAACAAAAATATCTTTTACAAATATTCGAACTACTATTCAAAAACTTTTTTTGTCAAGATATTTCTTTATTTTGAGTTTCGCTAATGAGTGTTAAAGAGATAAATTGAATAACACTTAATAAGAAATATTATACTTTTTATTACTTTAAAAATAAATTAAAACAATACTTTGTTTTTAATTCTAAATATATCAAAATTTGTGATTTTCAATTAATAGGTACTATTTTTAATTTTTTAATCGATGCCCATTAGTCAGAATAATTCTTTTTCCTTTTTTTCTCTTTTTTTTTTTTTTACCAAAGAAGGAAAGGGGGAATTTTTTTGACATTGGACGCCACAAAGCTTTGTTCATAGATAAAACTAAGAAAAAACACTCATTTAATTGCAACTCAAAGGAAACAGCCTATTCCATTGGTAGAGTTTTGGACAAGACCCATAAGAGTATAAGCTATTTAGGGCCTTAGGTTCACATTCCCAATTGAGAAAAGGCCCAATAAACCATGGACCAAAAGTTGTGCAGTCTAACCAGAATTAAGCAAGGTCTCTGATCTTCTAAATGGTTCGACGACATTTGAGGATAGAAGAGCATAGGACCTTTGGAGTCCAATGTCAATTTTAGAGTCTTAAATTGCAAATTCGGTTATTATCAGTTAGAGAAACAAGTGGCTTTCAATTTATAGCAACAGCGTCATGCATGGCAATCATGCATTTGAACTAGAAATCTTTACATGGAAAAGAACCAAGACCTATCACTATTTAGCATTGGATTTTCAGTCACTAAAACTAATAGAGAAAAAGGAGGAGCAAAAAACGGGCACTGCCCAAAATCACGTTAAATCACAAACTACATAACCACAATACCTCATACCCTCCATTTCTAATCACTGTCCTATTTTATCCCGAGAAACTAACCTCCTTCACACCTTGTCCCCCCCTATATTCTTTTATTCCCCTCCTCTAACAGGAAGGGCAGGGAATAAAGGCAATCTAAGAGGCTTATCTCATTCTCTCTACATTCAAACCATCAAAGTCACTACCTTCTTACCCATCAAAAAAATGAACTTTAAGCCCTTGCTTGCTTTCCTCCTCCTGGCCATGGCCTTGGCCATGGTGGCTGAATCTTCTAAAGTTCATGACTTGAGCTTTCACGGTGCTGCTGTAGGTGATTTCATTGGTGATGACAATGAGATGTTGCTAGACTCTGAGGCAAATCGTCGAACACTTGCAGGGCGACAAAGGTACATTAGCTATGAATCCCTCAGGGCCAACCAAGTCCCATGTGGTAAACGTGGACGATCTTACTACAATTGCCAGCAGAGGGGTAAGGCCAACCCTTATCGTCGTGGTTGCAGTGCCATTACACATTGTGCTAGAAACACTGATTAGATGCACAAACAAAGCACAAATGGAAGAATATATATAAGGGTTAAAAGTTTTTCTTTTTAAAGATATAACTTATTTTATTTTTGCAATTTATAACTATGTACTAAGTGTAGCACATAAGTACATAGTTATAATATTAAAATTATACTTTTTTTCATTTTTCACGTTCAGCAAATAATGTGAGAAGAAAGAGAAAAAAAATATAACTTTAATATTATAATTATGTACTATTCTTAGTACATAGTTATAAATTGCAAAAGAATATCAGTTACATCATTTAAAAAGACAAATCATTTTCCCTATATATAAATATATTATAATAATTATATATATAGTGGCTGATATTTGTTCTTCGACCATGAATTTGGAATATTCTCGAAGATCATACTATGTTGCCAAACTTTCCTAGGACTCCATTGAACAACTTTATTTTAATTTTCATATGG